CCTACTGGAAACAGTGATTTAGCTTTGAGTGGTTTCAGAAAGATCTGTAGCTTGTCAGCTGATTAGGCTGGAAATAAATACTTGGTTAAGCTGTAGCTAATTAACTGGTTGATTGAATTGGTTGTAGTCAATTAAGTTGTGTTCTATGCCTCATTTCTGTTTTCCTCTAAATGTTGTCAGGTTACAATATTGCTTGACATTCTCACAATTTGTTCTGGTTCTGGAACCTGCCTATCTCATTCTGCGAAAGCAAATTCATTGACTTAACCTATTTTCCTTTCATTAGCTCATGAGGAGCTTAAAAGTTAGTAAACAGCTTGCATTTTAATTTCAATTTCACGTGAACTTTCTGAATTATTTGTCAAACACCTGCAAAATAGCATTAAATCTTTTGGCGCAAAGTTGGAGGGTTTACTCAGTTTGCATATTACACATATTGTATGAACTCGGAGGACTTCTCTATATAATTCTATGCATGTTTTAGTTTGATAATCTGCCAAATTGTATGTACTTTTATAGAGTTAATTCTTGAACAGTGCAAGGTTTAAGGAAGTGCAGGCACTGTCATCTTATGAGAAGTATATTGGTCTATGAAATTTTCCATGCTGCTTTCATTTTTTATGTATTACATCCACTTTCTTATTCAGAATAAGATAGTTTTTTAGATTATACTATCAATAAAAAAGGAATATAGCTTTCCTTAGGTAACTAAAAATATTAGTGACCTGATGAAACAGTTAGTGCAGCTCCTAGAATAAGGTTTGGTGTCAGATTCTAGATGTTAACCATATTTGCTCTTCAAATTATTTTCCATGTAACTAGCCATATTTTGTAATATTGTGGCTTCATACAGCCACTGAAATGTATCTATTGCAACAGTATTCTGTAAGAAATGTTACTTTTGAGGTTTGTTAAAATGCAAATTAGTGAGTTTATGCCAAACCAGTTATGACAAATACTTTCTGGAAGTAACAAGAGGAGTGTTATGGTATAGTGCGTAAAGCCACCACCTGTGAGGCTGGCATGACATACAGGTGAAGGTGTGTGTTCAGTTTGTTCCACTTCGAATCTGATTCCCTTTAGTGATCTGAGAAGTGCAGTGGAAGACAACCTAAATACTTAGGGCTCTGTCACTCATGCTGGGATAGCCAAAAGAAGCTTTTGAATACTTGTCCTGATCTCAGCCATTGTGGCCATCTGGGGAGTATACCAGCAGATGGAATGTCTCTGTGTCTTAAGCTCTCTCTCTCAGTAACCGATTTTCAAACACATGAATCTTAATTATTAGAAGATAAAAACAATTTGAAATTCATATAAGGTAAGCAAGTCATTCAAAGTAGAACATAAAGATTATTACTCTGGTACAAAAGGGGAAAGCATCTTGATTCTGAGCATTGGAATCTAATGGTCTCACTAATTTACATTTCCAGTACCAGTGGGTTAGTGTATCTTTTCTGAAAGTTGCATGCCAGCCATTCTAACTTGGGTGAGGTGGAACTGTGAAACCACATTGTGGTTTCCATTTACATTTTCCTAATGGCTAGTGATCTCATCACATTTTCATGCCTGTTGACTATTTGAATTTCATGCTTTGAAAAATTCCTGTTTATACCCATTGTCTATTTCCAAATTAGGCTGTTTTGTTGTTGACTTTCTTGAGTTCTTTACAGTTTATGGGTATTAGTCCTCTATCATTTATGCAATTTGCCATTATTTATCTCTTTTAATACTTTCTGTGTTAAAGTATAATGGTTACACATGCTCATTTTAGTTTTCCCTTGGCATAGAATATATTTTCCCATTTTTCACTGTTACTCTGCATATCTTTCTTGGTGGAATATGTTTCTTGTAGGCAGCAAATCAATGCATCTTGTTTTTGAATCCATTCATCAAGTCCGTATCTTCTTTGGAGAGTTTAAACCATTTGCATTCAGAGTTATTGTTGAAAGATAATGATTTAGTCCAACCATTTCCCACAAATATTGTCACTGTTTGCTTTAGGGTTTTCTTTGAATCTTCACTAGTACAGTTCCTACTGTCACATTCTTTCATTATGGTGATTTTCATTTTCTATTTCTGTGTATAGCACATTCTTAAGCACCATTGTAGGATTGGCAGGTGGTGGCAATTAATCTTTTCAGTTTCTGTTTGGGAAAGTCTGTATTTCACCTTCATGCTTCAGTGTAAGCTTTGTTGTGTATACGGTTCTGGGTTGGTAGTTTCTCTCTTTAGGAACTGTACTGTGTCTCTCCTAGCCTGTGGAGTTTTCCAAAGATTTTTCCAAAGATCTTGTTACGTAGCTCAGACATCCTTCTACCTTGCCAAGCTTTTTCCCTGCATTTTTAAAATTTGGCATATAACATCCTTCATTTCTAACATTTTGATTTGATTTCTCTTCAAAATCTCAATATTGTGGGAAAATTTCTTGCCCATGTTATGTGTAAATTTTCTTTGCTTCTTTTTTTTTTCATCAAGCTCTTCAGCTCTCATTCTAATATTGAAATGTTATTGTATTCCTTTGGAAATGTCATACTGTCTTTCTTGATCATGTTTCTGTTTTTGGGCATTTCTGAAGCACTTGTAGTTTTTCTTCTCTGGTGGTTTTTATCTTTGAACTGTTATGCCTCTGTGGGTTAATGGAGTGACTGCTCCTCAGTGGAAATTGCAAGGCATGTGCTAGGTGTGGGCCTCATACTCTTGTCTGTGCTCAAGTGTTAGTTGAGTATCCAAGGTGAAATCCAGGTTGGCTGTGGAGAAAGGCAGAGTTGCATAGGGAGAGGGAAAGGGCGAGAGAGACCATCAGAATTAGTGTTCCATCTGTTTACTTCCTAAGTGGCTGCAACAAGTGGTACTGGGCCAATGCGAAGCCAGCTCCAGAGCTTCTTTCAGGTCTCCCAAATGGATGCAAGTTCCCAGGGATTTGCTGCTTTCTATGGAACATTAGTGGGAAGGTAGAAAAGAAGTAGAGCATCTGGGACTAGAACTCATGTTCATATGGGATGCTGGTACTGCCTAACCTATGCCATAGCACCAGCTCCTAGAGCAGGCTTAAGAAGTGGATTTGGGAACATAAATATAATTTACATTTAAAAAAGGCCATTCCATGTGTTGAAAAGAATAAACAATCAGCGGAAGTGGGAAGATTGATTAAGGAATTTACTCTCCTATGTAAGAAGAGGCAAAAGTTTGACTTAGTGTGGTAGGTGGCACTGAATTGAGAAGGGATGAAAAATTCTAACCTATAGCTCAAAACTATTATCAAATTTCATAGAGAATATATAAATACATTGCGTCAACTTTGCTAAAATTCTAAATTTAATCATGACCAATGCTTAAAGAGGCATATTAAAGAAATTATAAAGATGAGGCGATATGTATATTTTTTTCTCATTGTTGTCATTTTTATTTTTGTGTGCTTGAATGTGTAAGTGCGTTTATCTTTTTTATGGGCATCCTTGGAATACTGGCTGTTAAGCATACAAGGAACAAATTTGGAAGTGATTTTTCACAGACATAATTCAAACAAATCCCTAAAGTAATCATGCCCCTTAAAAGCTACATAGGCTCACACCCGAGCTGATTTACAGTCGTTGGAAGATCTTGCCTTTCAATATTACTTACTGATATGGCATGAAATATAACTGATATTTATTTAATACTTAATATAAAATATAAAATAGACTAGGAAAGCTAGAAAGGTGCAACACATTAAGGAAGCAAGATACTAGAATGTCCAAACTGTGAGAATGGTTCTTCATTAACAACTTTGAGAAGGATCATGTAAGTTGGCATGTCTTTAATGTTTTATAATATTTTGAGGTACCAAATTAAAGTATAGTTTATTTTTTCTGGAAAGAATACATTGATGTATGCTTTCTATTTTTGTTCCAATTTGGGCCTACGAAAGATACATTTAAGTTTGTGTCCAAGTTTTCTCAGCTATGAAGTGTAGCTGAAATGCATTGATACTGGATAATAAATTTGAACTGTGGCATTTCACATTTCTTAGTTGAACTCAGGTTTTTGGTTTGTTTTTCTTAATATGCCTACATGATTCAATACTCCAGGGCCTTGTTTTACTCATTTTATAATAGATTAAGAAGCTGAACAGGGTTTTTCTGCAATAGATCTGTATTTTTTTTAAAGATTTACTTATTTTTATTGCCAAGTCAGATATACAGAAAAGAGGAGAGATGGAGAGGAAGATATTCCGTCCAATTATTCAATCCCCAAGTGATTATAATGGTCAGTGCTGCTCCAACCTGAAGCCAGGATCCAGGTGTCTCTTTCAGGTCTCACATTTGAGTGCAGGGTCCCATGGCTTTGGGCCATCCTCTATGGCTTTTCCAGACCACAAGCAGGGAGCTGGATGGGAAGCGGGGCTTCTGGGATTAGAACCAGTGCCCATATGGGATCCCGGTACTTGCAAGGTGAGGACTTTGGCTGATAGGTCACCGTGCTAGGTCCACAATATAACTGTTTTAAAAAGTTGTTAGATTTCATTAATACATTCTTGACCATTATTTGTATACATAATGACTATTCATATCATAAGCACAGTTAAAAATTAATACTTAAGGACTGGTGGAGTGGCATAACAGACCTGTTGTGCTGGCATCAGTTTAGGTACTGGTCTGTGTCCCAACTGCTTTACTTCTGGTCCAACTCCCTGCTTGTGACCTCAGAAAGCAGCAGAGGATGACTCAAGTATTTGGATCTTTGAACCCATGTTGGAGACCCAGAAGATGACCCTGGCTCCTGGCTTCAGATTAGTTCAGCTCCTACCAGAGAGTGAACCAACAGATGGAATCTCTTTCTCTCTGTCTGCCTTTCAAATAAGAGTAAATAAATGTTAAAAAGTTAATATTGAATTATGGTTGATGAATGTTACAGACTACATTATGCTATTAAATATACTTATTCCAAAAATTATTGGAGCAGTAAGATTTGGTCTGTTATAAGCTATTTCATGATTTTCTTCTTTGGTGAACACTGTGCAGGAATAGTACCGATGGCTGGTACCTGTTTGCTGACAGCTCAAATGGGAAGTTTGGTGCCTTGGCTGACATCCTAACTCCTGTCATTTCACTCACCGGACCAAAATGTACCTTGGTGTTCTGGACTCACATGAATGGCGCCACAGTTGGTTCTCTGCAGGTACTGTTTGAACAATGAAATTTCCTAGCATTTCTCCATAAACATGTATCCTGCATAATTTAGTACGTGTTAATTAATCATGTTAATTTATTATTTTACAAGTGCCATATTATTGAGGGAAAGGTTTAGGAATGTACATGAATGGGTGTTTTTATTCTTACTTTTATTCCGAGTTCACAGCTTCTGTGTAATGATATTTTATACTTAGAGATTGTTACATAGTTGTTAGTATCAGTGTCTGGTGTATAACACAACCCAGTGTATGTACATTTTGGTGATACATGGTTTTGTATTTGTGGGGAGCAGCTGACCCCACATGTATAAGGGGCCACTGCAAGATGGCACCTGGATGAGGGCCAGGATGCGGGATTTGTCTCGCCAGCAGGTAAACAGGAAGTCACAGGGATAGGTTAGCGATTCTACTGGCCTATCAGGTAGTGCCTAGTGGACCCACGGGGAGAAGTGATTGGTGGAGAAATATATATAAGCAGCCCACTTTCGGCAATAAACCTCTCTTTTCGTTCACCTGCCTGTTTTCGTTCATCTCTCTTTTCTTGTTCCCCTGTTCGTTTGCGTGTGTGTGTTCATTTGTTGTGTGTGCTGGTTGCGGTGGCGGTTCCCGTTTTTCCAGGCCCTCGAGATTCCTTGTCATTTTACTGTCGCCGCAGGATGGCGACAGTGTTCTTGCTATTTTTTGTTTTTTGTACTATATTCTCTTTTAAAAATAACTTCTTTAAGTAACCAAAACACGATAAAGCTGTTTGAAACAGCCCGTTTCTAGAGTAGTACAAACAACTGCAGTATTCCTTTCATTCAGAGATGCTTTTTTTTTTTTTTGTCAATTACCCCGGTAATGAGCCTTTTAAAGGGAGAGTATGAGAGAGTTTTGTACCATGCCCCAACCCAGTAGCTTCATCCAGGTCTCCCATGTTTGTGGCAGAGGCCCAAGTACCTGGTCCATTTTTGTTGCTTTCCCAAGCACATTAACAGGATGCTGGATCCAAAATTAAGCTGCCAAGACTCAAACCTACTTCCATATGATATGCTGGCAATAGAGACAGCTTAACTTACTATGTCACAATTCTACCGCATCTGCATAAAGTTCCATAGTAATATGTGTAGACACATCATTGGGACATTGGATCCAATTTCATTTGAAGTATCTCCAATTAGATTCAATTTCAAAATTTGTCACTCCCATGAATTTGTGTCTAAAAACAACCCCCATAAATTCCAGAAAATTAGGCGTTATAGGCCAGAAATTTCTTCCTAGAAGCAGTCTATAGATAATGATTCTTGTTTTCCTATTCCACGTAACTTTTTGCCAAAAGTTTGGTCGATTTGGAATGAGGTGACACTTAGGTGAAATTGCCTGCTGTTTCTTTAATAATGAAAGCGAGTTGAACATCAGGATAATACCAAATCTGTTCAAGTGCTTGATTTGAATTTTGTGTTATATATTCCCTGTTCATTTTATGGTTGTTACAGTGTAGAATTTTGTTGATTATTATTTAATATTTTTTTCCCTAATTTTTAGAGCAGCATAGTTTTCTTCAAAATGCTATTTCTTGGGGGTAAGCACCATGGTTCAAAGGGCTAATTCTGCACCTTCAAGCTTGAGTATCCCACATGAGCACTGGTTTATACCCTGGCTGCACCGCTTCTGATCCATCTCCTTGCTTATGACCTGGGAAAGCACCAGAGGATGGTCCAAATGCTAGGGACTTTGCAACCACATGGGAGACCTGGAAGAAGCACCTGGCTTCAGATGGGCTTAGCTCTGGCTGTTAGGGAGTGAGCCAGCAGATGGGAGCTATGTCTCTGTTTTCTTCCATCTGTGAAACTGCCTTTCAAATAAAAATGTTTTAAAAATGATTTTTATAAAAAATATTGAAAACATTAAATGGGTAGACCAATTTCAGAATAGATATTGCTCTTTGGATAGATGAAACTTAAAAATAAAAAACAGTGTAAAAGTCTATGTATGTGTAAATCTCAAAGAACCCGATAGTCGGAATTGTAGTGATGTATGTATAACATATATACATATACTTATGTACATATAATTATGTGCACATTGTGTATATATAGTTTCCATATATAATTCACATAATTATATAATACAATATATCATGTGCACATGTGTAACTATGTACATATATCATGTATATATAACTTCATATATTATACATTGTTCTTTCATAATGGTTTTAGGTACAATAGTCAACACAACTAACCGTAGATAGTTAGTAAAATAAATTATTTACCTTTCATATTTAGTTGAGTTTAAATGATCTGAAGTACCCTTGAAATTTTTTAGAGCAAATTTTTACATTGGTGGATAAAAATTATAAAGCATTGATATTATGGCAATTATGAGAATACTAAAATGGTGATACAGTGTACCCTTATGTTTGTATGATTAAAAATATGTTAATATACTGGTTGAACATTCTTTTTGAATGAGTTGTATATGGTATAGTATTCATACAAATACATACTTTATGTATTCCTTTCAATGTCCCTCAAAATTATTTAGGCTAACTAGTGACAATTTATATTTTTTTCTCTTTGCTAATGTGTTGAAGTGGATTTTCTATACCATGAATTTTTATTTTTGCTAGCCACATATTTCTTATAGCACCAAGAAATATGATTGTTTAAGAAAATTCATCTGAATTAATATAAGAACAGATAAAAAATTACATTCTTTTTATATACATATAATTTATTTTTTAAATTTTTGGTTACATTGTATTATGAGATACAGTTCCATCGGTACTGGGATTCCCCCCACACCTCCCCCATTCCTCTCCCCATGGTGGACTCCTCCACCTTGTTGTGAGACCTCAGTTCAAGATCAGTTGAGACACCTTCATTGTAAGCATATACCAAGCATAGAGTCCAGCATCTTCTTTTTTTTTTTTTTTTTAAAGATTTATTTTTATTATTTTTTCATTGGAAAGGCGGATATACAGAGAGAGGAGAGACAGAGAGGAAGATCTTCCGTCCGATGATTCACTCCCCAAGTGAGCGCAACGGGCCGATACTATGCCGATCCGAAGCCAGGAGCCTCTTCTGGGTCTCCCACGCGGGTGCAGGTTCCCAAAGCCTTGGGCCGTCCTCGACTGCTTTCCCAGGCCACAGGCAGGGAGCTGGAAGGGAAGCGGGGCTGCCGGGATTAGAACCGGCGCCCATATGGGATCCCGGGCGTGCAAGGCGAGGACCTTTAACCACTTGCGCCACCGCGCCGGGCCCAAGTCCAGCATCTTCTTATCCAGATAAGTTCATCTGCTTCCTGGGGAGACCTTCCCTGGTCTGAAGGTATGGTCAAGAGAGCAAGATCCCAATCAATTAAAAGCCCCAGCAGTAACAATATATATCGTTATGGAGTTAATTGACATAGTATTGAGTAAACAATATGTTAAAATTACATGTAAGTTCTTGACAACCTCCTGTGACTATTTCAATGACATTTTAACAATTGAGGTGCATAACAGGTTTAGGGGGGGTATGCAGAGAAATCTTTCATACCTTGGTGAGGGGTACTTGTTCTTTGTGTTCTACCTAGTAGGGTATGCGTGAGTCCTTGATGACCTATCTTTCTTTGTTGTTCTCTGCTTATCTATTCCTATTTGTGTGTGTCTGTGAGTGTGTGTGTGTGTGTGTGTGTGTGTGTGTGTGTGTGTGTGTGTGTGTGTGTTGGGGGGGTGCTCTGAAGCGACCCTGTTGGTCATTGTAGAGGGTGGAGGCCCAGAGCTGGAACTAAGTAAGGACTGGAGAAGGCTCCTCTCCCTAGTCCCGAAGAAGTTTATTGTTGTTCTGATTCTGATGACGTTGGATCCTATGTGAAAGGACTTGGGCTTCTTTCATCTCGTGTAGTTTGTCCGAAGAAGGGGGGATGTCTGTCCTCTGGGTTCTCGGCCTCCGGAGGCATTCCAGTTCCCCGTGTTCTCTTTGGCAGTTGTGGTGACATCCTTGGTGCCCATTCTGATAGACCTTGGTGGGAGTCCGGGAGTCCTTATGATTGGGATATAAGCCTCCTCCTGTCCTGCTGCTCCACTCTGGGGTTCTCCCCTATTCTGTGCATATGACCCCCTGATGATAGCTTATTAGGGTCGCTCCTGAGTGCCCTTGTATGTCTTTGTAGTTTTTACTATTGTCTAATGCTGTTCTGAATCTACCGGCTATACCTGTCCAGTTCCTGTAGGTTACACTCTATGTAGAATTTAAATAAAGATTTCAATAATCCTTAAGGTGGAAAAAATTCTGGTTTCTCTGTGTGTTTAAAAATAATGTGCGAAATAATAAGTAGTTTTATGTGATTTTTTTTTTCTGCTCTTTCCTGTTTATCATGGCTACTCTCATGGCTTTGTCCAAACTCCAAAAGAGGAGCAATGATAATTTGATGGATAAGGATAATCTGGATTCTCTATCCTGGCACTGATATTGGCCTGTTGCTCCAAGGGTGTTGGGCAAGTGGAATCCCAGTTGTCTAGTACCACTGCCCACTGGGTCACATACCTGTGCTGTGAATTTCAAAGGGGTCACTGCGCAATATTACTGCCCCACTGAAGGCAATTGGATGAAGAAGGTATTCTCAAAAGATAATTTCAGTAAGAAATTTCAATTTTTGTTTCTAACCACCTAAATGTTATTTCATAAAATATTCATTGCTGCTACTATCAGACTTTTAAAAAGGTAATGTGGGTGAATTTATAATGAACTGGTATACAGGTGTGTTGGGATTTGACTGGCAGCAGTGTACAGCCTGATTAAATTAAAAGCCTATAAAGTTCTCTGGGAATGCAGTAATGCTCCTAATTTGCACTAGAAAACAGAAGTATTCAATTAAAAGTCTCAGCTCTCAGCAAGCTGATGAGGATGTGAAAGTTAAAAATCGCTTGAAAAGCTTGATTTTGATGGTGATCAAAGATTTCAACACTTTTTACCTGATTTGTCACCACAGGTTCTCATTAAGACAGACAGTGCTACTTCTAAATTATGGGCTCAGACTGGACAGCAAGGTGCACAGTGGAAGAAAGTGGAAGTGTTTTTAGGTATCCATTCACACACACAGGTTTGTATATCGGTTATGTGAGGATGAAGTTTTGTGATTTTCCCTCATCTTATTTCCTTTCCTCAGTCATTGCCTGTCATTTCCTTTCTAACATAATGTATGAATTCATAGCTACAGGATACAAAACTACAGGTGAGAGTTTTCATAAGCAATTTAAAATTGTACAATGACTGAATTTCTCTGAATTAGGTGTTCATAGTTTGGTCATAAGCAAAGTGAGAACCCAGAGCCATTTTGTAGGAGGAGAGCATTTTTTTTTTTAAGTCCTTGAAATTAAACTCTGGGTAATTAAGATTTAGAAACAGTCATTTCTAGATAGAAGGGATAAGATCCTTGTTAAAATTTTATTTTCTCCTCTTCTAAATATGCAATAGGAATAGAATATTGGTTTTGAATCTTTAATAATATCTGACACATCAGCCCCTTGCAGCTTCACTGGATGTGTAAACTATATAGACTGCATAAAGACATGCAGCATTATGTTTACTATCTTGAAGCAAGAGGTGCATGACGTCTCATACAAGTAGATTTTTTTTTTTTTGCTTTCACTGGAATCTAGTTTGCTTGTAAATAATTTGCAGGTAATTGAGACTATGGACAAAAAGTTCAGTTTAAGAAGTAATAACTTGATTAAAGGCTTTTTGCACTCTGAATCTTGCTATTAGAAGGATTCTAAATGTTCAGTCTCTAAAAAGTAGTTTGAGGCAGGAAGACTTCTCAGCCACAGCAGACAGGGAGCACTGTTCTACCACGGCTAGGGTTGCACCCAGGCAATGACTAATTTTGTGTATGTAGAATATAATCCTTCACTGTAGTGATGTTTTGGCCAGTGGTGCAATATGTAAATGATAGTGATCTTGGTAGAATTAAACTGCCTCTGAATGTTTGGCAGGCTTAGTTTAAGTAACTTCTGTAATATCAACACAAAAAATCAGTTTACCTAGTGATGCGTATCTAGAAGCTATCCACGTTGTTAAGTGAAGCATACCTGCATTTTTGTAGTAAAATCATGTTCAGAACAGCATGGAGGGGGTTTCAGTAAGAGTAATTAATTATTTAAACTTTCTGAAATTCTGGTTTATCATATGTTGAAAATTGATGAAAGATAAGTATATTCATGTTTAAGTGTTCATTAATGGCTTATGGACCATTTATTGTTTCACACACAGTTCTTCAATTTTTACATTAAAAAACAGACCTTATTATTTGCCAAGCATGTTAACATGCTCAGTAGATCCAGGAATGAGTCTCCACACAGTTGTTGGCTCTTCCTCTATTCTTTCTTTCTTTCTTTTTTTTTAAAGTTTTATATATTTTTATAGATATACAGAGAGGAGGAGAGACAGAGAGGAAGATCTTCCATCCAATGATTCACTCCCCAAGTGACTGCAACAGCATGTGCTGCGCCGATCCGAAGCCAAGAGCCAGGAACGAGGAACTTCCTCCAGGTCTCCCACATGGATGCAGGAACCTGAGACTTTGGGCTGTCCTCTATGGCTTTCCTAGGTCACATGCAGGGAGCTGGATGGGAAGCGGGGCTGCCAGGACTGGAACTTGTGTCCATATGGGATACTGGTGCTTGCAAGGCGAGGACGTCAGCCACTATGCTACTGTGCTGGGCCCTCTTCCTCTATTTTTATAGACGTTCTACTTTTAGCCTCAGAGATGCTTCCAACTCTTTAAGAAAAATCTAATTTATTTTTAGACATTCTGTACCAAGACCTAACTAGGAAACTTGACATCGTTTTATTTGGAAATCTCAGATCTTTCATTATGATTTTATAATCAATACAGTCACATACTGCATCACTTTTTAAATATCTTTATTTATTTCAAAATAATCCTTGGAGACACATGTTATATCTGTAGAGGAATATGTTGAAACTATGTTTACATAGCCATAAAATGGCAGAGAAAGACTTTCAACACAGGCAATCATACATATTCCACATAATCAACAATCCTGCCCTGCTGTTTTACCTGCCAAATGTCATGAAAGTAATTCTCTGGTTTTATTCAACCATAAAATAATCATGTATTTTCTTTGTGTAAAACACTTGAGCAGACCGACACTGTAGTATAACAGGTAAGGCTATTGTCTTTTGCGTGGGAATCCCATATGGGCACTGGTTTCACTCCTAGCTGTTCCACTTCTGATCCATCTCCCTACTGATTTCTAGAAAGACATCAGAAAATGGCCTGATGCCTTGGGCCTCTGTACCCACATGGGAGAGAGGAAGAGACTTCTGGCTTCTGTCTGGCCCAGCTTTGCCAATTGGACCACCTGGGGGATGGCTCTGTTGATGAAAGAGCTCTTGCTCTCTCATTATTTGCCTGTACAGTGTTGCTTTTCAAATAAAGGGATATATCCTTTTGAAAAGATTTATTTATTTATTTATTTGGAAAATCAAATTTACAAGAGAAGGAGAAACAGTGAGAAAGATCCTATATATATCCACTGGTTCACTCCCCAAGTGACAATTGGAGCTGAGCTGATCTGAAGCCAGGAGCCAGGAGCTTCTTCAGGGTCCCAAGGCTTTGTGCTGTCCCTTACTGTTCCCAGGCCACAAGCAGTTTGTTGGAAGGGAAGTGAGCCAGCTGGGATATGAACTAGAGCCCTTATGGAATCCTGGCACATGCTAGGTGAGGACTTCGCAGGCCCAAGGGATAATTCTTTAATACTGAACGTAGTAAAGTGTTTGTTTTTAAGTGTGTGAAATGCCAACCAGCATCATTTTGCCTGTAGTTAGACTATATAGTTCATAATGAAACACAGATGAGTTGAATAGTGAGACTTTCCAGATAGCAGAGGCTGTTTTTCATTTTGTGGAACAATATTCCCTCCCCTCTCCCTAGATCAGGGCCTCATTTCTTTTGGAGAATGTTGTACTTTTTGTTCTCTAGTTTCACATCTTAATTATTCCCAAATGCTTAATTTACCTTGCAGATTTGCTTTTCTTTTCCAGCTTATCTGCTGTGGAAAATGATATTTTTTGAACAGTGAATTTGGAAAAAACTTGTATTTTTTGGCTAGTGTAAAAGGCATAATTTTTTTGTTGTTGATTTATAGATTACAACAGGTTATCTTATTGCATTGGATACAGGTTGTCAGAGATTGCAATAATATTACAATATACAGGTACTATTTTCCAGATTGACACCTTTTCATCACAAATTAAGGCAAACATGTGGTATTTAACCTTTTGGGATTGGTTCATTTCTTTAGCATAATGGATTCCAGTTGGGCCCATTTGGCCACAAAAAACTGCATTTCATTTTTTTAAATAGCTGAGTAGTATTCCATGGAATATATGAACCATAGTTTTCTTATCCAGTCCTCTGTTGATGGGCATTTCAGTTACTTCCAATTTTTGCAATTATTGATTGTGCTGCTATAAACATAGGGGTGCATGTTGGTTTCTCATGAAACAGGTGTTTTGGATATAGTCCTAGGAGTGCTATTGCTGGGTCATATGGCATGCAGATTTCAGTTGTTTGAGAATCCTCCATACTGATTTCCATAGAGGCTGTACAAGTTTGCAGTCCCACCAGCAGTGGAGTAGGGTTCCCTTTTCCCCACATCCTCACCAGCAAGTGTTGTTGGTGGTTTTTTGTATGTGTGCCATCCTATCTGGCATTAGGTGGTATCTCATTGTTGTCTTCATTTGGATTTCCCTTATTGCCAGGGAACTTGAGCATTTTTTCATATGTTTGTTTGCCATTTGGGTTTGTTCTTTTGTGAAGCGTCTGCCCATTTCCTGTGCCCATTTCTTGAGTAGTTTGTTTTGGTGTTTTGGTTGTTCTGTAGATGTTTGTATATCCTGGAGATTAGTTGTAGGCTGAGCAGCAGTAGTGGATTTATGACTTGTGCCATTTTAATGAACCTATGTCCTAAATTTGGCCATGTAAGGCAGTTGTATTATCACATTCTCATTCTTAGCTGTTAAATAGTAGACAGTTCTGACCCTCAACTTCACTGGATCAAATTCAGTATGGGAACATTTCTGGTGTGAATGTTGTGAGATTGAATATTGATGATCTGAATAGTGTTTACTCCAGGTTTTGGATGTTTTGATTGACAAGTGACCTCCTTTTTTTTTTTAATTCCTAGATTGTCTTCAGGGCAAAACGTGGTGTCAGCTATATAGGTGATGTAGCAGTGGATGATATTGCCTTTCAAAACTGTTCCCCCTTACCTAACCCAGACAGAAAGTGCACTGCTCAAGAATTCACATGTGCTAATAAGCACTGCATTGCGAAGGACAAGCTATGTGATTTTGTGAATGACTGTGCTGATAATTCAGATGAGACATCTTTTATTTGTGGTAAGTAGGAGTGGGCTGCTTCCTCAATCTTTCCTATATCTTCAGCGTTCTTACTCAGTGTGTTCTGTCACAGTGTTGAAACATAAGTCATATGTATAACTCAGTAGCAGAGGCTGGTAAGATGGTTGGACTATTTAAAAGCACCCCTTCTCAATTCTTCGTGTTTAGAATTCATTTGAAACTAGTTGATGGTTCTTTCTGTAAATGAAGTGATTGGAGGTAAATTAGAAAACTAATATCTGCAGAGACAAAGTAGAATCAAGTATTCACTGCATGAAACATTTTTTATTTAAATAAAACACAAGCAAAGTATCTGTTACTCAGCTGTGTATGCTTAGCAAACCTCTATTCTTTGATGCCATTTTGGAGGGTGGTTTTGACTTTGTATTAATAATCATGATTTTGTAAGATTTATTTATATTTTTAATTTAAAAAATTATTATCATTTTATGATACAATTCTGCAGGCTTTGGGATTTCCTTTACCCCTCCTCAAATCCCCCTCTCCAAACACACACACACTCAGTTTTCCCGTATTATTACAATAGCATGGTTCCTCATAAACAGTCACTATGGCAGGGAGTCCTGGTATCTCCCTGGGAACTGCTTGAACTGGAAGTGGGAGAAAGGTTGTACAGAGAATGGTGCAACCACAGCATAGGATCACAGAAGGTAGAGAACGGTGAGTCAGGAGCTGGGGCTTTGTAGACCATGGAAAAAGCCTAACACAAGATCCCAGAACTGAAACTCACTGGAGGGAGTGACACAAGGGACTGCAAACAAAGAACCAAATAGCAAACACAATAAGTAAAACTGAGCTGTAGACCTGTGGGTGATACAGCTTAGAAACCTGCCCTGAGGAGAAGAGCCTGCTAGTCAGCAGTACAATGACCAAGAGCAAAATGTGACAGAGGCACAACAAATATTACTGAAGACTGCCCTGCAAAGGAGCAAGAGCCTTTGCCAACCTCAGAAATAACTAAGGAAGACATTGAGAAAACAGGGAGTACAGATTGAGCAAATTCTTTATAAAGCTTCACATCAACAATGAGAAGCACATACAGAAGTTCAAGGAATTTAGGGAATATGTCAGGGGAAATGGTAACACTGAATCAGTCAAGCTGAATTATGGAAATGAAAAATGCAATGGAGCAAATTAGAAATTCAGTGGAAAGTGTTAATAATTGAATGAATGAAGCAGAAAAAGAAATCTCAGAACTCGAAGATATTTCTTGCCATAATGCTGAAACAAAAAGTTGGAAGAGGAACTGAGGCATACTAAGAAAAGTATACAAGAATTAAGAACACAATTAAAAGGCCAAATATAAGAGTTATAAAATGAGTTTAAAGCTGTATTCAATAATATAATAAAGGAAAACTTCCCTAATCTGGAAAAAAATTCTGTGAAAACAACATCAAGAAAGGGCACAGAGCTCCCAACAGAGTTGACCAAAAGTGATCTTCCCCATGACACATGATAATCAAACTCTCTTCAGTCAAACATAAGGAAAATATTCTTAAATGTGCGCTTGAGGGCCCGGTGTGATAGCATAGTGGTTAAAGTCCTCGCCCTGCATGCCCAGGATTCCATATGGGCTCTGGTTCTAATCCCAGCAGCTCCACTTCCCGTCCAGCTCCCTGCTTGTGGCCTGGGAGAGCAGTCAAGGACAGCCTAAAGACTTGGGACCCTGCACCCTCATGGGAGACCTGGAGGAAACTCCTGGCTGCTGGTTCCAGATTGGCGCATCATCAGCTATTGCAGTCACTTGGGGAGTGAACCCTCAGATGGAAGATCTTCTCTGTCTCTCCTCCTCTCTGTATATCTGTCTTTCCAATAAAAATAAATAACTCTTAGTAAAAAAAAATGTGCACTTGAAAAAATCATTTGACATGTAAAAACTCAGACTCAGAGCTGACCTCTCACAGGAAACTCTACAGGCCAGAGAGAATGGAATGACATGTTCCAGATTCTTTTTTTTTTTTAAGATTTATTTTTATTGAAAGGCGGATATACAGAGAGAGACAGAGAGGAAGATCTTCCGTCCGATGATTCACTCCCCAAGTGAGCGCAATGGCCGATGCTATGCTGATCCAAAGCCAGGAGCCTCTTCTAGGTTCCCCATGCAGGTGCAGGGTCCCAAAGCCTTGGGCCGTCCTCTACTGCTTTCCCAGGCTACAAGCAGGGAGCTGGATGGGAAGCAGGGCTGCCGGGATTAGAACCTGTGCCCATATGGGATCCTGGACGTGCAAGGCGAGGACCTTAACCACTGCGCCACTGCGCCGGGCCCTAGATTCTTTTTTTTTTAATATATATTTTTATTTTGAATTTTGAATTATGTGGTACAATTTTGTGTATGCTGGGATTCCCCCCAAACTTCCATCCCCATCTGTTTTTCCCATTTTGTTACAATAGTGGAGTCCTTCATAAGGGATCATAATTCAGTCTTATTTAAATGTACCCTGACATTGTTTGTACAGAAAATGTCAGACAGTCCAGCATCCCATTGTCTACACATGTCCAACAGTTTCATTGGGAATCCATCTTTCGTCTGGATGTAGGGATGCATGTTCCATGATACCCCCATGTCCGTATATGATAGACTCCAGTACTCCATCACTGTATATTACCATAAATGAGAAACCATGAAACAAGTTCAACAGCTGATATGAGTTAGAACAGCCACAACAACAACAACATCAACAACACATTACAGCACCATGAAAAAAATGTGCCACTGAGTAACCAACACATGAGTGACAAAAAGGAAGCACAGAAGTCTCTTGGGAAAAATGATGCCATAATATAATTCATGAGTCCATGATAAATTCAACTAGAGAAAAGGGATTACTTGGAATGAGCCAAACTGAAATAAAAGCATCAAAGCACATGGGATACAGCCAGAAAAGCAATCAAAATTGCTTTGGACTATTGGAGTTACACTTTCCATGTTGGTTTCCTTATATAAGAGAGAATGCATGGTATTTGTTTTTTTGTGATTGACTCATTTCACTGAGCATAATGGTCTGTAGTTGGAACCACCTGGTTGTAAATAGAATAATTTCATTCTTCTTAATGGCTGAATAATATTTTATGGAGTAGATGTACCACAGTTTCTTTAACCACTCTTCCTTGGATGCACATCTGGATTGTTCCATGTCTTTGCTATTGTAGATTGTGCTGCTGCAAATATAGGATTACAGAACCCCTTCTCACGTATGTTCCAGATTCTAAGAGGAAAGAATTGTCAACAGATAATAACTTACCCATGAATGCTTCTGTTTGTCTTTGAAAATAAAATAAAATTCTTCCACAGTAAAGAAAAGCTCAAAGAATACAACTCTTCTAGATATTTCCTACAAATGATATTTAAAGACATTCTCTTGACAGAGAAAAGGAATAGTACTGCCCAAACCAAAAGCAAATGGGAAGAACATTCCAGTAAAACTACAACAGAAGACTAAATGAATGAACAACCCATTGTTAAATGACAGGACCAAATTACCACCCATTCATATTAATCCAAATGTAAATGGCTTAAACCAATAAAATCCAATGTCACAGGTTAGTAGACTCGATAAAAAAAAAAAACAACAAAATCCATCTATATGCTGCCTACAGGAGACACATCTTACCAACAAAGATCAGCAGAAACCATGTCATGGATTTTGAACTTCTTGTTTTTATTTTCATTTCTTCAAAAGTTTTTTTTCCTTACTTTAAATTCTTCACTGACTCACAGGTTATACAGTTACATCATCTTCTTCAAGAAGGTTCTTGATTTTCATTACTTCATGATACATTATTTAACTTCATGGCATTGCAAATTTCTATTTTTCTTCCTGTTATTTTTGTGGGGTTTCATTTAAATGGATGTATCATTACTGTGTAGTGGAAACTATTGTATTCATATGAAAGGATACAATGCAGTATCTATTTCTACTTCCAGATCAAAGATGGACTCCCAATGAAACTGTTAACTGTATCTTGATAATAGGATGCTGGACTCTTGCATTGTCCATGCCTGCAATGATGGACTTATGATTGTTTTTGAAGAACTATTGCAATAATATAGCAGAAATCATTGTGTGGGAGCAACCATTTGGGAAATGGGCAGAAAATCCCAGAGCCTATGGAACTATATGATAAAATAATAAGAGTAAAATGATAGGGGAAAAATAGAAAAATTAGAACTATTTCATCAAAATTTTCTAAATAGTACATTTTTATTAATGATGATAAAATTGGGTACTTGCTTGTGTACCACAATGTGTATTAGAGTAATAAAAGTGTTAGCTTTATAAATGTATAACCTACCTATAGCACTGTAAAAAGAAGTATGTGGAATTTCTACCATTGTAGAAATGAAATGAAACACAGGTTAAACATTAGTAATATCTGAAAATACTTTTAGTGGTAGTTTCAATGCTACTGAAAACATTTAATACAAAGTATTATTGTGAATTAATCCAAAACAATAAAATATTAACCTTTAATATTTGATATATTTTTTCATCTCCAACATAGTGACCTGTTCTAAAACAATAGCAATAATAATAGATTTTGCAGTGTTTTTCAAGCTAACCTGTATTGTAAATTAGTAAACTTCCTAAATTCTCTGCCAAGACCTAATAAATGGTAATAAAATAGAAGCAATAAATTGAGTGGAATCACTAGGTATTAGTAGAAGACAATGTAAGTATTGGTGAATTACTTTCTGCAGTTTTGAACCTAGGATGTGGTTTTTGGAACAGTGATTTTATTAAGTCATGAAGACACCTACATGTAACTGTTATCTCAAATAGTGCTATCAAGATAGTTTTGTAAGAATTTGAGCCTTGTGTGACATAGCAAGTTTGCTTTCAGTTGGTGCAATATGCTTTCAAGTTAGCCAATATCTGCTAACACAAAATTGGAAATATTTTGCAGGAACCTCCAGGGGACGCTGTGATTTTGAGTTTGACCTGTGCGCCTGGGAACAGGAGCAGGATGATGATTTTGACTGGAACCTGAAAGCTAGTGGTATCCCTGCCACAGGCACAGAGCCAGCAGCAGACCACACCCTGGGAAATTCATCTGGGCATTACATCTTCATAAAGAGTTTGTTCCCACAGCAGCCCATGAGAGCAGCCAGAATTTCCAGCCCAGTAATAAGCAAGAGGAGCAAAAATTGCAAGGTACAGAAAAAAAAACAAAATATTCTAATTTTTGTTCAAAGCAAAGACAGAAAGTAGAATGGCTGGTGTCAGAGAAAGGAGCTAAAATTCATTCAAGTTGGGATATGTGAGGGAGAAAAAGTGGGAGTAAGGTTGAAAGGGAAGGGTTATTTGAACTAGAAAAATTTCTTGTAGGTAAATTCTATAACTATCCAAATTTTAAAAACAACTGGAAAATTTTGTGATTATGATTTGTCACCATGGGTAATACAAAAAAAGGTAAACTTTTTTTTTTTTTTTCCTTTAGGAGGTGTAGTGCTTATTGGAATCTCAGGCATTTTACCAAGAAGAAAAAAATTTAAAACAGTGAAAAAATATTGCAAGAATTTCAGATTAGTGAAAGCTACATGAAATGATTAAAGTAATCTTCATAAAGCCTTACCAAGGCCTTAAAACAGTAGAATGATGTGGTCCTTAGCTTATGAAAATTTGAAGAAATGTGGCTTTTTGGGCCAAAGGCCATATGACACATATCTGTTGAGTTTTACACTTTCCTTTATTCATTGTTTGTGTTGTCTATTTTCCACATAACTGGAGTCATCTGGGCTAGAACTTAAGTTTACGTAAGATCCAGTACAAATCAGGTTCTCAGAGATGATCTAATAAGTACTTTACTTCCAAGAGACTGCTTTATAAATAAGTCATTTACACATAAGGAAATGTAATCTCTGTAAGATCTGGGCACACGGATTCTCTTTAGGATGTTCCCTAATAGTTGAAAGGAAGAAAAATGATATCCTCGTAGTTGTTCCTAATCAAATCAGATTGGGAGGAAGAGTTAGAAAATTTAACCCTTTTTGCTCTCACATTGTTCTGGTGTACTTGCGCCCACAATAGGAAGAGTCCTTATCCTTTGAAAGACATAGTGACCAGCCTTCAATATCCTGCTGCATTGATAGTCCTTCCCTGCAAAACAGCTGATTTTTGTTTTGTGGCGGCTTTGCGGGTGATATAACACATCCATCTGGATATATGTATATGTTTGTATGTATGTGTGTCTGTATTACATGTGTAGCACCTAGGAGTAAAGAATAGGAACATGCGGAAAGACTGTTTATTATCCTGTCAACCTGTGTGCAAGCACACTGTCACTGATGTTCCCATGGGAATGGAGGTGTTGATTAATTTGTTTTCTTGTTAATCTGATCACATTGACTGTGAAATGACCTTAATAATATTAATTACCTTAATAAAACAAGTATTTATTAAGACAAATAGGGATTCGTTTCCTTCCTCCCTTATTATACAATTAAAGACGCCCTTGGCTTCCTACTCCTAATCTCTTTTCTTCTCACCCTAGTTCTGTTTTCTCCAGACCTTCTAGGAGACCCTGACAATGACACCCCTGCTAATCCACTCAATACGCCACCCCGTATTAAACCAGAACGATACTTTATATTTGCCTACGCTATTCTCTGATCAATCCCCGTTGTTTGTTGCACAAAGATGAAAACAAGAATGTGGAGTAGACCATGTGTGTGACTATAAGAGATCTGCATAGATGTGGCATGCACCTATTCTTGTATCATTTAGTTCCTGTTTTTCAATTTGGAAGGCAGAGTTACAGAGGGAGGAGGAGGAGAGAGAATCTCTGGTCCCTATTGATGCTGCTGGGTCCTCTTCATTTCACAGAAATGGATTAGGCTCCCACAATGTTTCATCATTCCCTAGACAATTTGCAATGACTGCAAAAATTCTCATGCTTGAAATGTTAATAGAAACATTTTGGATGATAGAGTGAAAAGTGATTATTTCATTTGCTTGGAAATTTCGGTAGGGTTGCTATGACTTCTCTGTTTTTAATTACTACTTAGTGAAGCATCATGCAGTATACATTATTTAATTATCTCCTTACCCTTTAGGCAAGCTAGTAGTTCTTAAGTATGTTATGCATATCTACTAATATTTAAAAACTGTGTTCTTCCTGTGAAATTTATAGCACCTGTTTTTTTCTGATCAATACAAATGAGAAGGCAGCTTAAAAGGCATTTTTTTCTCCCATGTTTTTCTGTGTTTTGATTCTGTATGTAACAATGCCTAAAAATCCAGTTAACACTACTTAAAGCATTGCATTGTTAATCTCTAAAAAATAGCATTGCATTGTTAATCTCTAAAAAATACCTTTGTTGATTGTTACTTTGGGAGGAAGTCCCAAGGCCCATTCTTTCATTTCAAGTAAAATGTAGATCATTAGTCTTGTGATGGGTTTGCCACATGTAGCAGAGCCTTGACGATTTTGTAGAACTAAGAGATTGACCGTCTAGTACCAGAATGTAGTAGACTAAGCCAAGCAGTACGGCATTTTAATGAAAATTAATGAAGTTCAATGAGATGGAATGATCATCTTAGTGCCCGCTGCTTTGAACCGGGGAAGGTCTTTTTATGTAATACATTGCCGTCAAGTGATACTGTGTTTCTTTGGCTGTGGCTTTAATGGAGTTCAAGTGTCAAAGTTCATTTTGTAGTACTGTAACGGTACCTGAGACTGAGCAGTGTCTGAAGAACAGCCACATTTCCTTACAGTTTCTTACAGGCTTGGAGTTCCAGTTTGCACTTGGAAAGGGCTTTGTTGCCATGTGATCTCATGGTAGAAGGTGGAAAGACACAAAAGCCTTGAGAGATGGAGGGGCTGATTCTACTTATATAAAACCCCCACAGTCAATAATGAACCCACTCCCGCAATAACAAGATGAATATAGAGCCTCATGACCTATAATCACTGGTTAACAATCCCTCCTATCAACACTTATTGCAATAGGGATCACATTTTTTAAAAAGATTTATTTATTTTTATTGGAAAGGCAGATATACAGAGAGGAGGAGAGATAGAGAGGAAGATATTCCGTCCGATAATTCACTCCCCAAGCGGCCGCAACGGCAGGAGCTGAACCAATCCAAAGCCAGGAGACAGGAGCTTCCTCCAAGTCTCCCACATGGGTGCAGGGTCCCAAGGCCCTGGATTGTCCTCAACTGCTTTCCCAGGCCACCACCAGGGAGCTGGATGGGAAGCATGGCTGTGGGATTAGAACTGGCGCCCATATGGCCAGGCGTGCCAGGCGAGGATGTTAACCACCACACTATAGCGCCGGGCCCAGAGATCACATTTTTAACATTGGGGAGTGAAGGGGTTAACTTTGTGGCTCAGCAGCATAAGCTGTCACCTCCCACATTGACACAGGCGTCCTTTATGGATGTAGGTTCCAGTCTTGGCTGCTCTACTTCTGATCCAGGTACCTGCTGATGTTCCTGTGAAATCTGCAGAGGGATGGCCCAAGTACATGGGCTCTTGTACCAACTTGGAAGAACTAGATGAAGCTCCTGGTATTGTCTTTGGGCCCAGCCTAGTCTTGGCTTTTGCAATCATATGGGGGAAGGTATTAGTTGAATAACTCACTCTAACTCTTTCAAATAAGTAAATATCTTTAAAACAAAGGAGCAAGCAAGCAAACAAACAAACAAAAAACTATTGGAGGGCCTGGTGTGGTGGCTTAGTGACTAAATCCTTACCTTGAAACTGCTGGGATCCCATACGGACACTAGTTCATGTCCCAGCTACTTCACTGCCCATTCGGCATCCTGCCTGTGGCCTGGGAAAGCAGTAGAGGATGGCCCAAAGCTTTGGACCTTGCACCCATGTGGGAGACCTGGAAAAAGCTTCTGGCTCTTGGCTTCAGATTGGCTCAACGCTGACCACTGCAGACAGAAAATCATTCTCTTTGTCTGTCCTTCTCTCTGCAAATCTGACTTTCCAATAAAAAAATTAATAAATCTTAAAAAAATTGGAGAATTATTCAAATGATAACTTTGTGGAATCCTGCTTTTAGAAGTTATGGAAAGAAAAATAAACTTAGTTCATTTTTTTCATCCCAAACTTCTGTCTTTTAACATTTTCTCTTTCGTGTATCATAAGACTAGCCTGTCTTCACTCAGTGGCAAAATGCAGGCAGGACAATAGAACAGGCAAATTTAATTTATATTCCAGAATCTGTTAATACAAGTGATGTACATAGAAATAAAATGGAATCAATTATCCTAATCACACCTAATATTTTATGCTTATTTCCAGATCATTTTTCATTATCACATGTATGGAAATGGTATTGGGGCTCTCAGCCTGATCCAGGTGTCAGTCTCAAACCAAACAAAGGTCCTACTTAATCTCACTACAGAACAAGGCAATTTCTGGAAGAGAGAAGAACTAGCGTTGTTTGGTGAGGAGGACTTCCAACTCAGATTTGAAGGCATCGTTGGGAAAGGCTACCGCGGTGATATTGCTCTTGATGACATTGTGCTTACTGAGAATTGTCTGTTACCCGATCATTCTGTGAAAGAAGAACGAACAGTGCCTCTCCCAAAAGGTACATGTTAATTTGTTTTTGATGTATTTTTTCAGAGGGGAAGCTAGAAAGAATGAGAATGGAAAACAAATGGTATAAAAACACCTAGGAATTGTTACTTTTGTTATGAAAAAGCAAATATTTTTAAACTAGAAATTATTATTAAAGTTTTTATTTACAATAGTATCGTCCAATTTACTTTAAGCTTTGGCATCATTAACACTGCCTGGGTTTTGTATTAGGTCAGCTTTCTCTTGGGTTAGTAAAATAGAAGAAGGTTCCTTTGTGTGTAGTCTGATTCATAAATCAGTGGTGAGACGTAGTGGTAGGATAGGTGAGGAAGAAGTGGCATCACAAAGACCTTGGATATGGATTGTGGGAGTTCATTAGTTCGAATCAGGTACTTCCACAGGCAAATATCTAAGATTTTGTAAAGAAGATGGAGCTAAAGTAGTGACCCTTGGATATTTTTAAACAAAATTGAACTGTTTGCATCCTATTTCTGTTGCAAGAATAAATTATGCAGTCTGGGTAAATTATGAACAACTGGCTGACAGTTCTAGAGGATGGGAAGTCCAAGATTGAAGGACCAAGTCAGGTGAGAGCCTTCTTGTTATGTTGAGCTCTGTCAATCCATGGCCCACTCATGGGTAACAGTGATCCTCCATTCTCAAAGGTTCACTCTGGCCTAATTCATCTCTAGTTACCCACAGCTGTGATGCCGACGCTGAAAGGAAGCACGTGAAAAGTACATACGTGTTTACTTTCCTAATACTGTTGTGTATTGTACCTGCCTCTGGAAGCTAAATGTAAATATCCATCTCTTGGTGATTGCAGTTTTATTAAGCTTGGTTTAGAGACTCAGAATGTGAAACAGCTCTGAAAAAGCATGAATTCACTGTATACTGGAGGGAATCCATTGGAGTATTTGACATTTTGAGAACAGTGTGTGTGTCATTAGGGTGAGAGGACAGAGTTAGGAGGTAGTGATAGTGCTGTTCTAAACAAGTCAAAATCCAAAATGTTTCATTTGCTCTTGATGAAAGTTGGTCCAAGAAAATTAAGGAGCACCTAATAGAAATGCAACACTCATGCAAGTCACAATTATAAGCCACGTGTCTGATTTTATATCATCAAGTAGTAACATGAGGGAAATGTGAACTTAATTTCAATAATGTATTTTGTTTCCTTCCAAATTTATCATCATCTCCACATAAATCAGTATAAAGTACTAACAAAGGTTTTAATGCTGTTTTTATACTGTCTTTAGTTTCAGTGCACATCATATATTCCTAATATGTTGCAGTTTGTATCAGCCATATAACAGGTGCTCAGGAGCCACTGATGGCCGTTGATTAACCTAGTTGGACAATAAAGGAGATAAAATGAATTCTGTAAGGCAGTTTGGGGTCTATTCTTATAACAGAATTCTAGTAGTTGAGGCAAACACCTAGATTCACTTATGTATTTATTTAAATAGAACCACAACATATATACCCACAGGTCAAATATGAAAGTCCAGACATCATGTTCTAGTGAATGAAATATTAATTTTAAGATCTGTATCAATATGTTTATACAGGTTATCTGAGTTTCCTCACCTATAAAGCAGATAGAATACAGTTATTTCTTAGATTCTAGGACTTTAAAGAATTAAAAGAAATAATTATATGTATTTTATTTCATAAAAATATCATTTTGTATCCCCTTGCATCTTTACTGTTTTTCTTTAGATGATGAAAGCATTTAAGAGTAAGCCTTCATTATTTGTATTTTAATAACATTTTTTTCATTTTTGTGGCAAAATTATTACAGCGATCACAAGCATATAATTGTTACCTCATTGAAAAATTAATTAGATTTTGGTGTTTCATAGAGTACCTACATGTATGTGTGTATGTTCACAATTTTTAGTGATTCTTTATTGCTCATTACTGCAAAATGTAACCTCCCAGACAACAGAATGGCAACAGTAAGACTAGGCCTTCTGAAACATTTTTGTGATGTGTTTATAACCTTACCTTTGCCGTAACCTTGAGTTTTTGGAAAGTCCTGAAGGTATCTCATTTTGGGATGGTATCTTTTTATTCTTACTATTTTTTAAATTTTATGTCATTTTATGACATAGTTTCATAGGCGCTGGGATTCCCCCATCCCTTCCCCTAACCCTCCCCCCACATTGAATTCCTCCATATTGTTACAGTAGTACAGATCATATCCTGTCATGATTCCTTCATTGCGGGTATGGACCATGTGGAGAGTCTAGCAGGATGAGATCTTGCTTTGGCTTTTGTACAGGGAAGGACCTGTTTGCCTGATTCAGTTGTTTGATCCTAGGTGGGATGCAGCTCCTACTGACTGGATGGTTTAGAGTGCATGATGTTTAAACTGATTGGATATCTGTGTTCCATGCCACTATAAGTGATTGGATAATTTGCATCGTGCACTGATGTAAACTTAGTTGACTGAGTGATTCCTAACATATACCAGTGCTATCTTGGTTGGTTGGATGATTCTTACTTAAAACCCCCTGAACACAGCTGGTCAGGGCTGCTTCCTTCTACTGTGGTGGAATGGGTCAGTCTGAAGGCCAGTGAATAAAGACTCAGAAGTTCCTAAGGGTCTGTGTCCCCTAAGGGATAGATTTGATCAACCCAAAACAAAAGTATTTAACTTGTAACTTTCACAAGGAGAGCAAGGGGAAATGAAATTATGTACCACTAGTAGTGGCAACATGTATTAAGCTCTTGGAAATGACTCTAATTCACATTGGCTTTCTTTTAAAGAGTGTATGGTTATGAATGTTATGCTACTATGGCTTTAATGATCTTTGATTACTTTAAAATTTATTGTGTATGATAATGGTCATTTTTTCATTAAATTAGTATTACCTGCTGTCTGTATTCTCACTAAACTAAGGTCTTTTTGCTCTTCACTTGCTAAATTTCTTACTTGGTGCAGTACTAAACTTTTTTTTTTTAAACTGTAGTGTAAATTTTAAATAATGTTATTATATAAACTGGAATTTAAAAAAGAGAAATGGAGAAGAGAGGAATGTGAGTGGGAAGGAGATGATTTGTTGTGCCAAGGGCACAGAGGTTGAAAAATGTGAATTTTGTTGTTCATTGCCTACTAGCTGTGTGAACCCAATCTTATCAATTCAAAATTTTGGTTCAAGCTTGTTTTTTGCTCACCTTGGATAGTGCAAAAATGATTAAACTGAATGAAATGCAGTTCTCCACTACTCACTCAGCATGAAGAATGGTTTGTGCTGCGAAATTACTTGAGTAGGTATTTGTGAAGAGACTTCAATTTCAGCATATTTATTGCTCTTCCAAAAAATTCCTTTTGAATATATGAATTTGCTAGCTATTTTTCAAATGTTTTGGTGGCCCAGAATATACATTTAGATAGATTATTTTTTTGAAATGTCAGTAATTTAAAATGCATACATAGTGTAGTATAAACTACTGGTGTAGAAAGCAATTTCCTTGTAATAATGAGAATATTTAAATATTCTAGAAATTTTATTGTGTAATCTTGCCAGCTCAGTTTCAGTTTATATTAATACTTTAGCCCATTCTACATTGATTTGAAATGTCAGTGTAGCATTTTTTATGATTGATATTCACATGAAAAATTTGATGATTGTTACAAAGCCCTGTAGCACAGTTATAGGCTGTTTGCTGCAAACTGTGATAACCATGTGGGTATATTTTCAGAAGTTCTGTGCAAACTTTTGAGGCAGTATATTCGTTTCTGCAATATCACAGCTTGTCAGCCTTTTGATACCATATAGTTAGGGCATATAATCACACATATACAAGGGTGCTTCATAAAGTTTGTGGAAATATTATTAAAATATACATATAATTTGATAGAAAAAGTTTTTATATCCATGAATATGAAAGATATTAAATCATTTCAAAGATAATATGTATTATGAAAAAATCTCATTTTTTTCAGTAAAAATTACTTAATTTTATTTTCCATGAGCTCTTTAAGGTACTCTCATACATGTTTTATGAGAGATCTTCAGCTGAGATTTTGTGAAATAAAGATTGCCCTAACACAATGTCTTAAGCAGCCCTTCAAAGTAATGAAGGAAGAAAGAAAATAGCTAATAGGTATGTTCTAGTTTTTCCTTCAGGAACATTTCTGGAAATTGTTGCAGCAAATGTATAAAACATTAACCTGAATTCAGTGTTACTACTAGATTAAAGCTCCTTCACAAATAGTTTTACAGAAGGTATTTTACAAAGTGTTAAACTGAGGCTATGAGAGCTAAGATAAGCAAAATTACAATTTTGTTTGAAGCACGTTAATATACTAATTATGTCTCCTTATGGTAATGTTCGTATAGTTTCTTGACAGCAGGCTTGTTTTATATTAAGGCACATGAGGGATTTGGGGAGCTGCATGATGGAGAAGGAAGATTGAACTGTTTGGGAAACTTTGATACATAGCTGAGGAAAAAAATCATATATGCACCTACAAAACTGGAACTATATTTGTTATTTGCCTAATGATAGCATGCAGAGCCAAAAGGACAGAAGAGATTGTAAGGGTCTCACATGACAGCCCTGGGAGTAAGCAGCAGGCAGGCAGCACTGTACAAATGCCATTAGAATTTAAGTGGGCAGCCAAATTTTGTAGCTTTTGCTTTTTGTTTTTTACTTTCATTCCTCTCTTTTCTTTTTCTCCTTTTTCCTCTTTTCTATTCTCTTTCTCTTTTCCCCTCTCTTCTCATGAGGTGAGCCTTTCAGTAAGACTGTCAATTAAATAATGTGGGGCCTGAGAAGGGTTTGGGATCATGACCATTCAACTATTGCCTTGAGCTCCAATATCATGACAGAATTAATAAATTTTGTTAAAAAGTATTAGCAACATTTATGGCTAAATCTAACCAAGTACTGTACACAAAAATCGTTGTTATAATTCTCAAGATATGAGAGAGTCATTAGGTTTATAATAGAACATTCTCCAATGTGTTTTATCATTTTAAAGATTTAATTGAGTTA